GGCTCTGCGGTCTCCCTGCACGCGGCTCAGCCGGGCGCGAGCAGACCGGACCCTCGCCCAGGGGAACAGAGCCCACGTGCCGGCAGGGGTCGGCCCCGCTGGGCGGCCCCGGGCAGCTCTCGGCCTGTCGCCCCCGGCACCGAAAAAGGGGTGTCGATCCCCGCGCACGCGGAATCCTTCGCTGCAACTGCGGGGCGCTCTGTGTACCGCTCGGGGCACTGCGCGGCCTCTGGCCCCCTACCCTGCCCGCACCTCCTTGTCGGGATGTCGGGAGGGACTGGGGCTTCGGGGGCCGGGGAGGAGGTGAGCTGCTCCGCTGTCCCCACCGCACGCCTCTCTTGGCCGGTGGGATTCCACCCCCAGCCCCATCTTAAAAGGAGCCCGGGCAGCGGGTGAGGACGACAGCCTGGTGACAGGACAGGAGCGGGCGGACTCTGAGGAAGCCTCCCCTCTGGAGGGAGGGACAGGAAAAATCGCGGTAGGCGTCAAGGCCCGGGGGCAGACAAGGGAGCAGGGTGGACGTGCAAACCTGCACCTGGGCGCCCGGGGGTAGGGGGTGGGGAGCCACAGCCGCGGTAAGAAGCGGCTGCCTGGGAGCCCAGCGAGATCAGTTCTCATTTTTTAAGATGAGGAAACTGAGGCCCACAACAAGCCCTCAGATGCCGATGACGGCCAAGTCCCCTAATTTAACACTGCCTGCCCTCTGTCTATACCCTACAGTTCAGGGCCAGACCCTTCCGTGTGGGAAAACCAAGGCTGCGTCCCGGCAGAACTGCCCTCTCCGAGCCCAGGAAGACGTGGGCACCAGGCTCGCCGGCCAGCGGGTGGCGTCCGCCCTGCGGGGTGAGCGCGTGGGCGGTAAAGGGAGGGCGCCTTTGCTAGATCGAGGCCAGAATCTGGAGAATGTGGGGCCGGATTCCAAGCCGTCTCCGCGGTGACTCTGGGGCAGGAATGCCTCTGGAAACGGGAAGCCAGTCGGCTGGAATGCGGTGTCTCAGCACAAAGCGCGAGTGTGGCTCAGAGAACCCCACACCACCCAGCGCCCCTCCAGGCTACGGCCCCACCCCCGGGCCCACCCTGGGCAGCAGCAGCCCCCCTGGGAACCAGGTCTGGGGTGCTCCCCTCCTGTGCCAGCACGGCCACCCCTAGCTGAGCAGCCAGCTGAGTTCCTGGGACAGTAGTGGGCTGGGCAGAAGCATGGAGAGCTGGCCGGCCATACCCACGACCCCTCCACTCCCAGCGAGGAAGCCCGCTTCAGGAAGTGCGCTTCCTGCAAGCTCAGCTCAAAGCTGGCCTTGGGGCGGGGGTGGGGGAGGGCCAAGCCGAGAGCCTGGAGCTGCCGCTGCCAGGCTGGAGCGGCCAGCAGGGGCCCGCTGACCTCCCACCCTGGCCAACAGTGGCTGGGGCTGTACCTGGAAGGCTGGCTCTGGTGACAGAGGGGCAGGCCCCCCACCCAGCAAGCCTGCGTGGAGCTCTGGCTTTGTTCCTGGCCCCTCGCCTTACTAGCTAGGAGTCCTTGGACGGAATCTTAACTCCCTGTCCTCGGTTTATCCACCTACAGCACAAGGGCGCTGGCATCGCCTGCCTAGAAGCTGGGAGGCAGTGAAGGCATTGAAATGCCCCTTCACATCTACAGTGCTCCAGACATCCCTCTGCCTAGCTGTGCTACTCTGAGAACTGTTGTTTCCCAGCTCTGCCCCAAAGGGGACCTATTAGATGCTCTTGCGGGCCACTTCGCACCAGGTCTGCCATTTCTGACTTCTCCGTGGGGCACACAAACGAGCGGTGGGTGAGAGGGAGTGGCGTCCCTGCTCCGGGGGACGAGGGCGTGGTAAGAGATGGAGCCTGCCGCCACCGCCTCCGCTGACAGACTGGTTCGGCTAATGATGCCATCTCCAAGGAGTTCGCTGCCAGTCCTGGGCGGGCTGTGTTGCCTCAGAACTTGCACATCCAAACCCTCACGGCCGGCTGAGAGCCAGCCGTGCCAAGAAGGCCAACAGGCGGGTTTTCGCTTAGACCTGTTCAGCCTTCGGTGGCCTTACCCATCTCCCACGTGTCCCGATGGCCCACGTTCCTCCTGCCCTCCTTGGGACACCGTTGGTGAGGTGACCCGTTACGGGGGAGTCCTATCTTATCGATAGTCCCACCCATCCTTCCCGACCTGTCGCCTCCCTGCTCGACATTTTCAAGGTGTCCCCAGGGCCCCGAGGGAAGGTGCAAACCTCAGGGGGCATCGGGGCTCCCTGACAGTGTCAGCTCAGGTCCCCGCAGACACTGCTATAAACTTCGCTCTCTGCTTGCCGTGCCGTGTCAGCCTTTGCCCGCCTGACTGAGACCGGGCCGTTCTTTGCCCACGTGGCCACTGCTCGTGTGTCCCAAGACAGCCCTCAGCGCTCGCTGCCATGTTGCATTGTGTCATTTTTGCCGCTCGGTTACTGCCACTTGCCCATCATCTTCAGGGAAGCAAGAAAAGTGCTACACAGTATCTTCCTGTATCCCCGCCGCGAGCATAATTCCTTTTTTTTTTTTTTTTTTTTTTTTGGTCTTTTTGAGACAGGGTCTTGCTATGCAGTTCTGGCTGGCCTTGAGCTCACTTTGTAGCCCAGGCTGGCCTCCAACTCTCAATGATCCTCCTGCCTCAGCTTCCCGAATGCTGGAATTACAGGCATAGGCCACCAGGTCCGGCCTCCACAATTCCCTTTCTTGAGCATGCTCCCTGCCATGGACAGCACTAGACACAAGGTGGCGCCAAAGAGACCACCCATTTCCCAAGTGCGGGGGAGTCCCCGGGATTCCTGGGCCCGGCCAGACTGCCTTGATCTTTCCTATGAAAATAAAGGCTGGTGATTGGGCGACCATCCAGGTAAAAGGTGACGCGATGATATCGAGGTGTAAATTATAGGCACAGGTGCCGGAGGACGTAACACACACAGTCTGTGCCAAGATCCCTGCACCAAAGCACCAGATAGCACAGGCTGCCCTGACAGACCACACCCTCTGAAGCCAGTTTTGATGGCCCTGTGAAAGTAAAACTGAGGCCACCACCATCCTGGACCGCATGGGAGCCAGGGCAGGTCTGGAGCACCCAGCAGCACCCTTAAGAACCTTCTAAAAGCCAGGTGTGGTGGTACACAGCTGTAATCCCAGTACTTGGGAGGCTGAAGGAGGAGGACTGCATTGAATTGCAGGCCAGCCAGGGCTACATAGTGAGTTCGGGGCCAAAGGAAGTGAACTAAGAAGGAACCCAGGAGACACATTCTCTACCCAAGGGCCAGGGAACGAGAACAGGAAAGAACGCATCTGCTTGATTGTGTGCACGCATATACATATATTTATAGAGCTCATGTCCAACACTTCGCACAGTGAATACCGCTGGTATTCTAGACCCCTCTCCTTCTAGACCCTTCTGTCTCTGCCCCACCCTGTACTAGTATCAAACGTGGCAGCCACTTCAGCCTGTGGCACGGTGCCTGGCCTACCGGGGAAAGGCTGGGAGCGGGGGGTTACCCTCAGCACCCAAGCCCCAGAAGGGTCCCAGTCCTTGGCCTCATCCAGCGAGGACTAAGGGGTCTTGTGTCCCGAAACTTACTTCATATCAGTGCCACCTCCCACTGCCCCCTTCCCTGCCCTGCCAACTTGCCCAACACAGGGCGGTGCCCGGGGTGCCCCAGGCTCAGGGCCGAGAGCCGAGGGCAGAGGGTGCCGAGTAGCGCTGGCGGGCGTGCTTCTCGCAGTACAGTTCGTCACCCACCCAGAAGTGGCCGCGCATCTTCAGGTTCAGCCCGCAGTCCGCACAGGTGTAGCAGCCAGGGTGGCGGTACCGGCCCTCCTGGATGCGAACAGCCTGGTTCCTGTGGGGGACGGGAGGATGGAGGAATGGACAGAGACCAGGCGTGAGGCCATCCCTCCCAGGGAGCCTGGCCCCCAGGCAGAGCTGGGACCTGGGATACACAGACAGTCTCAGGCACTTGAATCCCAGGCCTTCCTCAGGAATCTCACTTCAACAACCCCCAACACACACACACACGTACACACACACATGTGCATCCCAGCACACACATAACACACCAATATACACACCCCCCAGGAGCCCTAATTAACAATAAAAAAGTCAATCTTCCCCAACGTGGAGACACAAAGATGGATAAAAGTCCAGAGCCCTGGACCCTCAGGGGAGCTGTGGTTCTCAGCATGGCCCCAGGAGCAGGACCACCAGCACGGGCGTCCAGCAGGCAGCCAGATGTGAGCACTCCAGGCCCGAGGCTTCCTGAGGTGAGGACTCTGGCTGGGCACAGCCTGGATGCCCCACCGGAAATGCATCCACTTGCAGCTACTTCCCCTCTCTGTACACAGCGCAGCGGGGCTGGGTCTTCACCCCTTCTTGAGCTGCAGCCCATCCAGGTGAAGGGTTTACCTGCAGCAAGTCAGCTGACCCTCGACCATCGCTTGGAACATTTACCTGAGGGGGACCCTGATCCTGCTGAGACCACACCCTCCTCTGGTGCCACCCACTGAGAACAAACCTACCCCGGCAACCCAGCCTGCTTCGTGGGCCAAGGGAGGGGAAAAGGAAGATTTTCCAGGAGGGGCCTTGTCTAGGGGCAGAATGGGGAGTGCTGGAGGTTGCAGAGGGGAAACCGCAAGCAGCAGCATTTCTCATTCCCCCGGGGAGAGGAGCGGAAGTGGGGAGGAGGGAGGAGGAGGTGGCCAGGAAGCATTCTTTGGAAGGCTGCAAACAGCCTAACGCCCAGCCGCCCTGCACTGCCTCCAGGGTCCCTGCCAGACCCGGCCCAGCCCTGCCGGAGGGCACCCTGCCGTGTCCCGTCCCCCAACACTCACGCGATGCTGGCGCCGCACTTCTCACAGGTGTGGAGCTTGGGCGGGGCGGCGAGGGCCCTGGACGTAGGCAGGGAGGACTGGGGGCTCAGCGAGCTGGGCACGATGGCAGGCATGCCGCCTGGGAGGGCGGGAGACAGACACACCCAGCTCAGCCAGCCGCAGCAGCCGTCTGTGTTTACCGGCGCTCAGGCTGCTGCAACCATTCCTCCTGGGCCATTCCCAGACTGGTCGCAGGAGGTCCAGGGAGACACAGCCCTCCGCGGTCCCAGCAGGGGGAAGGAGGGCTGAGGATGGCCTGCTGGGCCCTTGGATGAGGCCGCGTGAGGGCTGGATGCCTGAGCAAGGCCAAGCCTGCCCCTCTAGGGCACTGGGAGCATCCGTGCCGAGTCTGTGCTTGTGACCCAGGCACAATGCCACCAACAGAAAACAATCCTGGGAGGTCCCAGCACCACGGAGTCTTCAGACGGCTTTTATATGCGACCCTGCACGGGGCCATGAACCTCTGCACTGGCCGTTCTGCCCTCCGCTCGCTCTCTCTCCTGTCCGCCCTTTCTGCTAGTCTTGGCCACTCAGGGAATATCCTGCTTCCCACGGCAGGGAGCTGGCCAGGCCTGTCTGCCCCAAAAGAGCTCCTCAGGGGCAGGGGTGGGGCGGTGCCCACCTTCCATCCCATGCTTCGCACTTCTGCTCCATCGGCAGGCCCGTCCGTGTTTGTAAAGGCAGTAACTGTGATCACACGTGGCCTGCACCGCTAACCCTGGCATCTTAGGGAGCGCGAGTGTCTAACCTACACTCTCGGGTCGGGGTCTCCTTGGCCTGGCCCCTGAAGCCCTGGCCAGGCTGTTCTCTGATGCCCACACCCAAAAGTCCACGGGCTGCCACGTTCCTCGGTGCTCCCAGCCCCATCTTCAGGCCATTTGCTGAAGTGGATCTTGTTTCAGGGCCCAATTAGAACTCTCTCCCTCCCAGGCCCCGTCCCACCCCGGGTGCTGCCGTAGTGCCCGCCAGCGTCTCCAGCCACCTCCTGGGTGTGCACCTCGTACCCCTGCGCACACTGGAAGCTGCTCCAGGGCAGGCGCCCTGGCGGTCCCTGGGCGCGTAGGAAACGACCTTCCCCGCCTCCCTCCCGCGGCGCCCGGGGCCTCACCTCTCTCCTCCGCCTCCAGAGCCTCCTGCAGGAGCAGAAAGGAGCTGGACTGGCGAGGGGCCGCCCGACCCTCGCGGTTTTCCTGCAGCATCTTGAACACTTCCGAGTCCTCCTCCAGCAGGAGGTTCCCGGCTTCGGAGTTCGGGCTGCTGCAGGGCGAGGCCGCCAGGAATGAGGGTCCCGAACAAGCCGCGCAACCCGGGAGAAGAGCACGGGCACCCATCCCTCGGGAAGCCTAGGGTCCCGCCTGGCCCCGCCCCAGGCCCTTCAGGAGCACCACCCCACACCCCACTCCGCAGGTCCCGCCGGTACCTGATCCTCGGGCTGGAGCACCGCGCGGGCAGCGCCCGCACAGCCAAGTCCACCTCGCGGCTCAAGCTGGCCTGCGGGAGGAGGGCAGCGGGGCGGAGTCAGCAGCGGCCCAGCCCAGGGCCGTGGTCAGTTGTTGTTTTCTGGGCGCCCGCCAGGGGGCGCCCGACCCTCGCTGCCCCCAGGCCCGCAGTCCTGCGCTCAGAGCCGAGCACCAGGTATGCGGGTGCAGAAGGGAACAGAGGCCGCGCCCAGCTACAGGAGTTCTGCCACGGGACTGGGCAAGGGGCAGATGGAGGACAGCTGGAGACCAATCCCTCTCTGACAGATCCTATGCTGCACGGCTTCGAAGAGGTGCACACTGGGCCGGGCTCTAGTCGGCCGAGAAGTAGGGAAGAAGGAGCCCGTGATCGTTCTGTAGCGAGGCCGTGGATGAACGAAGCACGGGGCTCTGTGCCACCCCTGCGCCTCTTCCAGCAGGGCGGGCCTGGCTGCCCTCTCCCTCGGCCGGGAGGTCTAATCCTGGGCTCTGGGAAACCTTCCGTTCTGAGGCCACACCCTGGCCCCAGGGACACTGTCATCCTGGGCTGTGGCATTTGCTCTCCAAGTGGAAATCTCTCCCTTTTGCAGTTGTGGATCTGATGCTGGAGGCCACCCCTTCAGGTGCCCTTGTTACCCTAAGTCCACTAAGTGAGGAGCCCCAACACGGCGGCTGTACTCCTGTAATCCTAGCATTCTGGGAGGCTGAGGCAAGAGGATTTAGGTCGCAGCCCAGCTAGGCAATTCAGCAATTTAAGTGAGACCCTGTCTCTGTCTGTCTGTCTGTCTCTCTCTTTCTTTTCTTTTTTTGTACCAGAAATCGAACTCAGGGCTTCATGCTTGTTAGGGAGGTACTGCACTGTTGAGCTACATCCCTGACCCTACACCCTGTTTAAAAAAAAAAAAAAGAAACCAGGGTCTCACTATGTAGTCCAGGCTGACTGTGAACTTGCTCTCACTCACTACGTAGCCCAGGTGGGCCTCAAATTCACAATGTCCCTCCTGCTCAGCCTCCTGACTGCTAGGATTACAGGCATGTGCCACCACACCCAGCTCACAGATAAAGAACTTTTTAAAAAGCTGGAGGGGGATGGGGATTTAGCTCAGCGGCACAACGCCTGCCTGGCAAGCGCGAGGTTGTGAGTTCGATTTCCGGTACCAGAAACAAACCAAAAAAAAAAAAATTTAAAAATAAAAAATAAAAAGCTGGGGATGTAGCTCAGCGTGAAGGCCCCGAGTTCAATCCCCAGGGCCACTATAAAAAAAAAAAAAAAAAACTTAAATTCATAGATGAACTGTGGGTTCACATGAATAACTGCACACATCCTTAAGCCAAAAGTGAAAACTTTGGAGTCTTGAGATGAATCTCAAGACCTCACCCACCGGCCCTGCCCAGGAGGGCTCACTCCATCACCCCTCCACTCCTGGTGTCCTATGGTACAAGGCCTCACAGGTAAGGGAGCTGCGGGTCAGGAGGGCACAGTGGCTTGTTCGGGCCGCCTGTGGTGTCAGGCACAGGGCTGGACTGTGTCCAAGCACCTGAGCCCTGTCGCAGGCTGGGGTGTCGCTCAGTGGGGAAGCGCTTGCCCAGCATGCTGAAGGCATGAACCATCCCCAGAACCACAAAAAGAAAGAACAGTGTCACATCTCCAGGTGGTCAGCATGCACCCTGCACAGGGCATGCTGGGGAACAAGGAGAGCTGACACCCAGCTCAGCTGCCTTGTGGAGTCCAGTCCTTGTCCTGGCAAGAGGGAGAATTGCTTCCTTCCCTAGACATCGGCTCATCGAGGCATGTGCCTGCCCAGCAGGGGCGAGTCATGGCTCCCAGAGGGCACCAGAGGGCTGGTGGCATCCTGCACCTCGGGCTCTCTAGGGCCAGAGCCAGCCAGAAGCCCGCTGCGGAGCTGGGCGCCTCTGCCACTCCGGCCCGCAGCTCTTCCCGGGGAGGGTGGGGGCTCGAAACCCTCCCTTGGCTGCTTTTGCCTCCTTCCCTCCTGCCCAGGCATCTGGGGCCCAGAATGGGTGCTTCATCTCCAAGTGCAGGAGGCGCTCCTCCCCTGCCCTTCAAAAGCTGTCTGCAGAGAACTCCAGGGAACTCGGGGCGCCATGGTGAGTGGGGCAGCAAGTAGGGCAGC